TCCAGGAAGCCCGGGGCAGAGCAACTCTGCCTCGGGCTTCCTGTAGTCAGCCGCTGGTCAGTTTCAGCAGTGGCTGAATCTGGATGCCATTTCCGACTTACATACAAATTCAACTTAAGAACAAACCTACAGTCCCTATCTTGTACGTAACCCGGGGACTGCCTGTACTGCAGAACGCTCCTCACCAAATTACTGGTCTCCCTTGAAAACTAGAGTAGATTGTTGTATCAAATTATTGCTGCCACTCTATCCTGTTGCACCTGAATGCTGCAGTGAACACTGTAGGCCATGTAGATTTCGATAATTTGTTGAATTCAAACCTGTTAATTAGTCATAACCTCAAAACAATGGTAAATCATATCTGCGTGCTAAAAAAGGAACTTTGCAGTGAGTTTCAGGAAATACTGTTCTAGGTGTCACTGCTACTGCCAAAACACCTGTTATGATTTCCATTAAAATACATAGATAAGGAATGGGTGAGGTAACTTCTTTTATTGGGCCAATTTCTGTTGCTGAGAGAGAGAGAGAGCACTTTCGATTTTACACAGAGCTTATCTCTCTTGCCAACAGAAGTTTGTCCAATAAAAGATGTTATGGTTACCTCACTCACCTCCTCTCTGTAATACCCTGGGACCAACAATACTGCAATGACACTGCACTAAAACAGGAATTGGACTGGGCTCAAATTCATCAAAACATTCAAGGACGAGTTTAACTTTACACAACGCCTCTTGACTTCACACACCTCGGCTGTGTCTAGACTGACAACTTTTTCCAGAAAAGCAGCCACTTTTCCGGAAAAACTTGCGAGCTGTCTACACTGGCCGCTTGAATTTCCGCAAAAGCACTGACAATCTCATGTAAGATTGTCAGTGTTTTTGCGGAAATACTATGCTGCTCCCGTTGGGGCAAAAGTCTTTTTCCGAAAAACTTTTGCGCTAAAGGGCCAGTGTAGAAAGCAGAGATTTGTTTTCCGCAAAAAAGCCCCGATCGCGAAAATGACCATCGGGGCTTTTTTGCGGAAAAGCGCGTCTAGATTGGCCACGGACACTTTTCCACAAAAAGTGCTTTTGCGGAAAAGCGTCCTGCCAATCTAGACGCGCTTTTCCGAAAATGCTTTTAACGGAAAACTTTTCCGTTAAAAGCATTTCCGGAAAATCATGCCAGTCTAGACGTAGCCCTCATGGAACAGTTCTTCTGGTACAACCTACCCCAGATAGCAAACTCCCTGCCCTTGACTTCTCCTAGTGAAGAGCACCAACCAAGATGCTGCTGTTCCACCCCAGGCAGCCCCTTCCCTGTAAAATCTCTCTGCACACGTCACCCGCACACGCTACTGCTCCATTGTGGCAAGTAGGAGAAGGGGGGAGGAGCAGCGGTGGCGCGTGCCCCCTGAACCTTAGTGACTACGAGTTCCAGAATTCCCCACGGCTTTGGCTCGCTCCTCTACAAGCCTCCTTCCCCCTCTCCCTCCCGGCCAGAAACCTGTGGACTCTACCAACTGCGGATAACATAGGTATCATTGTTGTCGCACGCCTTCACTTTAGCACGGGATGCGAGAGAAAATGGGGGGTACAGCTTTTCCTGGATCGTATGTCTCGGGATAAATCGCTTTGGTGCCTTTCTGAGGGGGTTCGGGTTTGTTCCGCCCCTTCCTTCCCAAGAGCGGAGAACAGTCCCCCCCTCCCCAACAGGTGTGTCCTGGAGGAGACTAAGGAAGCAAATGGTGGGAGGAGGGGGTGCTTGCCTGCTCTCTCCGGAAGGAGTAGTGTACCCCCCCTCCCCACACACACAGAGTTGTGGCGCATGGGCTGATCCCGTCTCTCCCCCTCGCTGACTTGGTTTGTTCGCGCCTTGCTTCTTCCCTCCCTTTCGCTCCAAGAAGTGGTTTGTTCCTCCCTCCCCCACCGAGCATGGGCCCTTGGCGCGGCCCGCCGCGGGCTGGGCTGACTCTGAGGCGCCCGTAGGAGGGGCGGGACGGAAGCGTTTCCTGGAGCCTGTGGGGTGGCGGCGGGGTCGCTCGTTCCCTCCTTGCCTGCTCCTCTGGCGGGGCCGGGGGAGATGCCGACGCAGCGGGAGAGTAGCGGCGGCAGCGGCACCAGCACCACCATGTCCCACCCGACGCTGGGCGGCGGCGGCGGCGGCCTCTGCGGGGATAGCGCCCACCAGGTGCGGGTGAAAGCCTACTACAAAGGGTGAGTGACACGGCCGGGGCGGGGCACCCGGCGGGGATTGGGGAGCCCGGTGGGAGTGGAGGTCGGGCCGGAGGGCGGTGGGGGGAGTGTGCTGGAGTGAATGCGGCTCCGGGGGGAGACGAGCACAGGGGCACCCGCTGTCGGTGATCATCGTGGGGTGGCGGCGGCGGCGGCTCCCAACACCGAATGGGCCCTTACTGGAGCCAGGCCTCGGGGGTCTGGAAAGGGCGAGTCTAGAGAAGCGGGTCCCGGAAGGGGTTTGGTGGGAGGGGAGCGGCGGGCTTGTAGCGGTTCCGGGCGTCGGCAGTGGTCGTGGGGGGTTGTAGAGCTGCTGCAGGAGCATCTGCCGAAGGGGCTCTAAGGGAGGTGGGTCTTTGTGGGGAGGCACCTTCGGCCGAGTTAGGTGAGAACTTTGCGTACGGGTTGACTAGATCGGGTGGACACTTGGGTTGGCCTTAGGAGTCCGTGACTTGAAAATACTGACCCTCCTCCCCGGTGGTGAAATAACGCGAATGCCTCTTTTTTTGGGGAATTTTGTTTTCGGCTGGGCGAGAGAGGGGTGTGTGGATTCTGATCCTGCTGCTTGTAACAATGTTCAGAGTGATTTTTTCAGCGCTAAAACTTCTGTCAATTAGCTTGTGCAACATCAGTACACCCTGTTTAAACTGGGCTGCGCTGTTGGCAGTTAAGTATTTTTTCTGCGTATCCATAAAACACCAAAACTTGCCAGCTACCGTGTTTGTTTTTTTTTAAGAAATGGTTCTTGAGCAATTGCTTGAACGCAGTTATAACCAACAGGGATTGTGTTCCAGGTACATGTCGGGGGGGAGGGAGTGTCAGTCACCTTTCATGAAGCTGCTTGTGGGAAAAGGCCTATAAGAGACACGTGAAGAGATGATGCCATGCTGGCTCCAGATTATCAGTTTGTTCATTGCCCACATGAATCTATGGGATAACTTTCCCTTTTGCCTTTATCCTCTTGAATGCTCTAATCCCACTGGTGGGGAATCTGTGGCCTGCAGGCCATATACGGCCAACTGGCACTCCACCTGCAGCTCATGGACCCCCTGGCTGTCCTCCTTCCCCATGCGCTTCTTGCACAACAAGGTACAGTTCAGAGCTGGAATGCCACAAGTCAGCGGTTCATGGTAGTCTGGCTCTGGGAGGAAGGAGGAGAAGAGGGATGGAGTGCAGATCAGGCAGTTTGTGCACACTGAAAGTGCTGGAAGGGAGAGGGAGGAGCAGATAAGTACAGCGCAGAGGTGCATGGGGGAGGGTGGTCACAGGTGGAACCCCCGTGGGCAGCTGCAGCCCACGGAGGTGAAGAAGGGCCTCCTACTTGTCTATCCCTGCTGGAATATCTTTTATAACAGCTGACAGCTGTTCAGAATGAATACACTGTAGTTCATTTATTTACAGTATTTTTAGAAAGATTTGAATTATTTGCTTTTTGTACTACTAGAAGTTTTACCCAGCATTGCTCAGATCCTTCAGCGCACAGAGTCAAAGGTATGGGGGTACAGGAGTCAGGGCAAGGTCTTGAGGATGTGGGGGATACAGGGGTCAGGGTTGGGAGATGAAGAGGGGTTCAGGGCAAGGGATGGGGGGCGTGCAGGAGTCAGGAAAGTGGTTGGAAGGTGTAGGAGAGAAAGGGGGGTGCTCAGGGCAGGGTGTTGGGCGGATGGCAGCTGCCCCTCAGGTCGGGGCGAGGGGGAGGGGACATGCTGCCCATCTGCCAGCCAGTTCCCCAGGCCAGCGGGGGCCATGCAACTTGGCCACTCCTCAGGGGCTTGGGAGCTTGCTGTCTCTTCCCTCTCCCCATGGTCATTTGGGAGTATAATTGTACTGCCTTTTCAGTTTAATAAGAAACAAACACAATCACACATCCCATTGTCCTGGCACAGCCAAATGCTTTTATCTCGCTTTAAGTTATAAGGGGAAGCTACATACTAAATTTGGTGATTCTAGTTCCTAGCTTTTAGGAGGAGTTCTTGAACAAACAGACTCATACACAGATGGACGGACATGCAGAGAGACAGACAGACATTAATTCTCCTAAAGTATATATCCCAATAGAGAATTATGACCCTATTGTGCTAAACAGTGAACGGATACTTCGGAAAATAGAGCTCTTGCCCCAAAGAAATCACACGCCAAGTAGATAAAATATAGGTTAATATTCATTTTAGACAGTGGTACACATAGAAAGACCATCTCATTTCTTGACAGAAAGCTGGATGAAGGCAGAGCAACCATTTTTTAAATAAAGTGTTTTCCATTCAGTAATAGTGACACTCTAAGGCATATCTGCAGTTCCATAATTTTTAATAAAGTTTAAAAAGTCGTGTGGACTGAGCACCATAAACCTTTTCTGCATTTGATGTTGTCAGACAGTTTCATTCCTGACCTATAATATGTCTCAGAATCTTTTTCTAGGCTTCTCTTGACCAGCTTCTCTATGAATTATGCCACTTGGTTTGATTATTTGAATTGGCATTACTAACAAGGAAATTCTCTTCTTTTGAATGTTTCGTTTATTGACTCTTTACCTGGACGGTGTTAATGGAGTCAGAAGTTTATTACTAAACCTGGAACTGAAATGACTCACACGGAATTGGTCAATGATCCTGCTGTAAACATGCTATCTGACTAGAATGCCTTACTCATGATTTGATTTTAGGTCTTACATTCTGACAGGGTTTTTTAATCAAAATTTCAAGCGGTTACACGTTTACACAGATACCCGATTGTTAACGCCGTACTAACTCATGCCATAATCTAGGGATATTAAATGAGTAAAAAGTCTTTCTCCTCTGCCTTGACCAAACTTCTTTAATTGCAATAGTCAAGCATGACCTTCTGTGAAGGAATATATTGAGAGTAAACTTTTTACGTTGTCTTTTCATAAATGAAATATCTACCTATGCTGTATAGTACTCCACTATAAATATTAATCCTTGCAGGAGGATAATTGAGTCTTCAAGCATAATTAGCAATTAAATCTCAGTGTGCAGGGGTAGGTGATCTCCAAACCTTAAAGCCTCCATTATAAGATGAGCCACTTAAAATCATGCTGCAAAGGGTTCTGATTTGGTACATCAGGATGTGAAATCCTGGTTAATCAGTTAACTGGTTAAAAATTAGGTTTACCTAACATTTAACTAGTTATCGACTAAAGCGGAATCTGGACTGGGGACCACTCCAGCACGGCTGGAGCAGCCCCTGACCTACCAGGGTCCTGCCCCAGCCCTATGCTGGGGCTGGTTGTCAGCTCTCAGCACCATGTTTGGATTGGGATTACTACCAGCTCCCAGTTCCCCACCAGAGCAGTCCCTCTCCATGGTGGGCCCAGACTGGACTCCCTGCAGACAGGGGCTGCTGGAGAAGCCCCTGCCTCTTGCTCCAGCCCCCATCAGTTACCACTTAAACTGATGATGTTAACCTTTCACATTCCTAGTACTGAATGAGAATATTGAAACAGCAGACTCATTCAAGGAGTTTTACGTTATGTGACTTTCTGAGTGACGTAATTAGACCTCCTCAAAAGCATGCATGTTTGACAGGCCCCCCCCCCCCCAAAGCATTTAGATGTAAGATTCTAAAGAATGTAGTCTCTATCCTCACTGTACATAGTAGTTAATCTCAGATTTTGATGAGAAACTAGAGGTAGAATAAACAATAGAATACATTTATTTACTTGGTTACCTTTAACAGATAATGTTGGGTTTTTTTAATATACATTATTTGTATAAAGTGACCTTTAAAGATAATGGAGGAAAAACCTCTTGATTGCCACTTTTCAATCAATAAGGTGTACAGCATGCCTTCTTAGAGACTATAACAAATGAGTCTGTTTTGAGTTTTTACTGCTCTGAACTCCAGGAAAGGCAATATGATAAACACAATTTTTCTGTAGCCGATGATTTATTCTTTTTAGAGAGGCTACTCATGTGAAATGTTGCTTTAAGTTTTGTTTCTTTCATGATTGGAGCAGGCCTCCTGTTTACTGAAGGAGGATCCTATTCATCTTAAATGTTTACACAAAAGCCTTTAAATAATTGTTTTAAATACAAGGTATTGAGGGCAGGGTCTCTCTCTGGCTATATTTGTATAGATCCTTGGACGATAAGGCCTTGATTTGGTGTTATGGATACTACTGAAATGTAAATATACTCTGAAAAATGGGGTTTTTATAGTAGAGATGTGGTGGTGCAAGTAACAGAAATGTAGGCTTGAGGGGACTTTGAGAAGTCATCACATCCCGCTCCCTGTTCCATGGCAGTACCAAGTGAACCTAGACCGTGTCTGACATGTTTGTCCAACTTAAAAGCTTCCAGTGATGGGAATGTCACAATGTATATTGGAAGCCTATGCCTGAGTTTACCTGCCCTTATAGTTAGAACGTTTTTCCTAGTAGATAACCTAAATCTCCCTTGCTGCAGATTAAGCCCATTATTTTCTTGTCCTACCTTGTATGGACATGGAGAACAGCTGATCATGATCCTCTTTATTATAATAGTCCTAAACATATTGGAAGACTGTTATCAGATCCTTTCTCAGGTGTCTTTTCTCAGCTCGTCATGTTTAATCTTTTTTTTTTAAACTGTTCCTCATTGATGTTACAAACCCTGAGAGTAAATCCAGACAATACCACTGAGTGTCCTATTACACCCCACAGGGTGTTTACTGTGAAGCTTCAGTTTTACTATTTGCGTGATAGAAGGGCTTACAGACTCCCACTAAGGGCTTGTCTGTATGGTATATTTCCAGTTATACTGGTATAAACTGTTATGGTTATACACAGAGCTTAAATTGTCAAAGTCTTTTCCAGAGCTTTCATCCTTCCCTCCATTCTCTGCCTACCAGATAGACAAAAAGCAACTTGAGGAGACTTCAGAATTGTCTCATGATGTTTTCATACATGTTTTTTCTTCCCTGATCTTGCTCCTGAGATCAGTTGCAGAGTATCTTCCTTTCCTGACCCAGGCTCTCTCATATGGCTCAGCACTGAACATTGTGAGAGACAGTCCTACCAAGTAGGGATGTAAGCGGCACTAGCATACAGAAGCATATTATGGAGGAAATTAAATTAAAAAATATATCTTTTAAGTGTGAAATCTCTTTACTACTTGGTTTGTCAGGGATTGCAGCTAGAGCTTTGTTACAGTACCACCATTTCCTACCCTAGTTGCTCACCATCAATGGCTCATATAATCTTTTTCTACATCTTTCTCACCACTTCCCTTTCTCCTGAAACACACACTTTTTTTCCCCTCCATCTGTGTTCTTGTTCTTCACTTCACTGCTTCATGCTTTCCCCTCTTCCTCCCAGGTGCTTCCAGTAGCTGGAGCTGTTTCCCACCTGTCTGATGGGTTATCCATTTCAGATTTTTTCGTAGAACCCACTTACTTCATGAATTCTTCCTTTCCTGGCCTTCTGCCCAGTTATTACTAGGGATGTGAAGGTTTAACTGGTTAACAGGTAAGCCTCACTCTTAACAGGTGAGGCTTATTGGTTAAGGTTAACCAGTGGGGCTGGAGCAGTTCCCTGCCTGTGGAAGACAGGGAGCTGTTCTGTGTAAAGGGGTGCTCTGACCAGGACACTGGAGGACCCCCCCTGTCTGGTACATGCCATGAGGGGAGGAGGGTGCAGGGCGGGGCTCCTCCAGAAGGAGGGTGGGAGGAGGTTCCAGCCCAGTGGCAGGCTACTCCTTCTCCGCTCACCCTCCCTTTACTTGGTTAACTGGTTAAACCATACGTTTAACCAGTTAGCCAATTAGGGTTTTACATCCCTAATTATTATTTGAACTATTAATATTTTGTGGTATCTGTTAGCTCAAAAAGTAGGGTTCATAATTTCTTCTCTTCTCAGTTGCCATGTACATCTGTAACACTATATGAACATTTTATAACTTCTGTTACAAATTTGTTGCAGAAAGCATTCATAGATATTTCACTGTAATAGACATTCATGAAACAAACAAGCTTCTTAAGTATTGCTTACCTAATCTTTACAGAATATTTTCTTTCTAGCTATAAATTACAGTGTTTCCCTCTTCTTTGTCTAGCTTCTGTTGATATTGAAACATGTTATACATGTACACATACATGTGATTTAAAACAGATAAGAGTACAAGAAAAGCACTTTAGTATGATAAACTGATTTGGAAGATTTATTTATTTATTTATTTATTTTTACAATAGCAAACAAGACAGTAGAATTCAGGAAATGAACAACTCTGTAATCCTGTATGCAATACAGTACTGTAGTTTCTGAATTTGAGTAATTTTGTTAAATTTATTTCTCATTCAGGGACATCATGATAACCTATTTTGAACCTTCCATCTCGTTTGAAGGACTCTGTAATGAGGTTCGAGACATGTGCTCCTTTGACAATGAACAACTCTTCACTATGAAATGGATTGATGAAGAAGGTAAAGTGACGTTGAATAGTTGTGTCTTGTGGAGATATATATCTCCATTCTTCTTCCCCTAAATAAAGTAAGAAGGAATAACTGAATTCAGAAGACACCCTTTCCTCTGTAAACTTGATTTTGTAACAAAAGTATGTATTTATAAAATATCCACCATGGTGGGTATCTGGATTATATACTAAATAAATAGTCCCAGACAAATATAGTAGCCTTAAATTCATAGCTACTGCTAGGATCAAATGTTGAAGAAGCTATGAGTGTCTCTTAATATCCAACCTCCCTTTACCCAAATCTAATTTTAAACTAGAGAAAGGGATTTACCCATAATATCTTAATGCATTTTACCAAATCCTGTTGAAGTCAGAGACCTCCCATTGTGTGCTGTCAATCAGCCCCTTGAACTCCAAAGCTTGTTTCTTCAGGAAAGAAAAATGCTGTTCTAGAATGAAGGAACTGTGAAAGTCAGAGGTGCCAACTTCCTCTCCAGCCAGGGAATACTCAGCCCTCTCCCCAACCCACCACTCGGTCTCCTTCACACTTCTTACAGATTCATCCTTCTGTACACTGTGAAACTATTTGCAGTGGATGGGAGGCCTTGGAGAGAGGGGCAAGGAGTTGATCAGTGGGGCCATACACACATCTTTCTGAGAAGCATAGTAGTGCACCTCTACCATTATATTGACGTGGAAAGTTTATTATGAGTGCTGCTTCTAAGCTGGGGGTGGACACTAGTGACTGACTACAAATAATTGTTTTGGTTTCTTTTTAAGACACACTCTATGCACACATGTCTACATCTGTATGTATAAACTAAATAGATCATATTTCCATTCTTAAGAGACCCTGAAAAACCCTAACTTCTTTTTATCAAATGTGCAAAAGGAATAGTTTAACTTCTGCATATAAGGAATTTGCTTTGGTACTCAATCTGAATGGCAATATCAGTATTTTCTGGCAACATTCTTTATCTTAAGTTAAAGAAGGGTGAGAAATTGGGCTTATTAATGGTGCTGTGGTTGTATTGAAATCTTTTAGTTGCATGTGTTATGTGCATTAGTACATATAGAGAGATTTTTTCAAAAGCACTCAAAATCGGCCTGATTTAGTTGCATGTGTTATGTGCATTAGTACATATAGTGGGATATTTTCAAAAGCACTCAAAATCGGCCTATTGACTTCACTGGGAGCAAAGTTCGTCCAAGTCATGCTTTTGAAAATTCCACCCATATGTGCAAAGTATAACTCTTCAGTATACATTGTTTGCTTGCCTACTAAAGAGAACTCATAGTCATGTTAGTTTTCCTAGAAAGGTGTAATTTTATGTATTGCATGAAATTTCATATTTTTACTAAACCCTCAATACATGTTGTTTATAGTAGTATGTAAACTGACAGCTTGTAATGCATATGCTCTCCTTGTAGTTGTTTGAGACTAAATTATTCATGGGACTATAATACAGGAAATATGACATTTAATAAGCAAGTAATAAAACTATGGCTTAAAACTACCTGTTAATTAAACAGTTTTACTGGAGTCACGCTTACAGGATTTTTTTCTTTGGTGTTAGGTCTAATTTTTTTAGCCCTGTGAAATAAAAAGCATGATGCATTGTAAACTCTATTTTTTTCACACAGGAAGGTAGGCCAAGTGCGCTGCTAAATGGGGAATTCAAAATGAATATTGCCAAAGGGTTTATGAATTCATCCTGTTATAGGGTTCATTACTTCCAACTTCCTTTGCATGAATACAAAATAGCAAATGTTGATGTTATTCCTGAAAGAAGGATACTTGCTGCTTATTGCTTCTAAAATCCATCTCCTCATTTTTCTTCCTGTCATGGCTTTGTTCAAATGTGCTCTTACAAGATTTCCTCCTCTTATCTAGTAGCACTTAATTGAATAAACTGCCATGATTCTTAGTATTGGGAATATACTGCTGAAATCATGTCAGAGCTAGCATTTTTTTCCAGAAACATTTATTTGCTGATAATACTCTTTGTTTGTCTCTCTCTCTAGAACTTGAGTGTGTACAAGTGGATGGGTGACCTATTATGTTGTGGTGCAATAAGTCACTGTGCCCTGTTGAAAATGTTCATTTTCATCATTGGCTTTAGAGTTTAAAGGAAAGATTGTGTGTGGATGTGGTGGGGAGGACAGTGAATTGTATTTCTCTGGAATATCTAGAAAATGTCAGATGGTAAATGCTTCATTCTAGAATCCTGTACTGTCAGAAACATTAAAGGTATCATATCTCCTCAGAGAGATTTCACAGCAGAAGCCTGCTCTTTTTTGTATTTTTGAAAACTGTGCCACAGCTCAGTGCCTGTTTGGTGATAGAGAAATTGGTTTAGTTGAGAACTGAAGTTAAGATATTGTCATGTTGAAATTTTCTGTAGTTAAATGGAAGTCAAAAAATGGTCAGGCCAGTAAGAGAAATTGGTTTAGTTGAGAACTGAAATTAAGATATTGTCATATTGAAATTTTCTGTAGTTAAGTGGAAGTCAAAAAATGGTCAGGCCAGTTTTGATGATTTCCAGTGAATGATTTATGTCCTTTGTTCTCTTACAGTATCTAATTGGTCACAGGACAATTGTGTTAATGTTCATTTTGCTGGCTTCTTACACATTTGAAGCTACTAGCCACATTGGTAATATGAAGTTTGTGTAGCCTTTGTAATCTTCAAAGCATTTTACAAATGTTAACAGATCTTCACAGCCTCCCTGAGAGTTAGATGAATATTGTCCAAATTTTTCAAATATGGAATTTGAGAGCCTGTAACTTGCCTATAGCCCAAAAAGAAATTTATCAGAACCAAAGCCAGAACCCAAGAGCTTCTGGCTCCCAGTCCTGTATTCTGCCTATCTAACTTGATTTCCCCATCGAGTTAAGCCTTGATTATAAAAGACATGTTGGATTAGTCACACTGGAAGCCTCTCTGTGGGCACTTACTTTGATTTAGCTTGCACTTAGAAAGAAGTAAGCCATATCTGTATATGAAAGGGTATTTGTATCAGGGTAACTCATCTATCACTTTTAATTAAACTAGTGCAACTTTGAGGTAGACAAGGCCTTAGGTTTTTCTTTTCAAAGATTTAGAAAAGGGTGCTTTTATTAAGAACTAGCACACTTACCTGGGGTTGCTCAGAATCTTAACTCAATTCAATTTAATGCATTTTCCACTTGCTCCTTGACCGTGATGAAGGAGGAAAGCCAGTGACATCCCATTACGTATGAATCTGGGGGATGTAGAATAGAGTTTCAACCCCTCTTCCCACCCTCCCTAAAGTGTGCCTGGGCTGGGGTTGGGGCCTGCCCCAAGCCAGCCCCTTTCACCTGCCTAGTGATTGTCTCTCTCTTTCTGCATGGTTTTGAGAAGCAGTTTCACTCCAGGCTTATGTAGCGGTTAATAAGCTAATCGAGTAGTTGATGGAATTTCCATTGACCACTTGATTAGTCAGTAAGGGGGTTAGCATCTGGGGCTGGCATGAACCGGAACTGATGAGTCCCAGATCTGGGACCACTGCATCTCTACCTATTTAAATATAGTAAGAGCCACTACATTTTAAAAAGCAGAGCCACAACAGTCTGGGGCCCAGCATGAGCCTCCCCTGCCTCCAGAGATGGTGCTGGCGGGGAACCTGTTTTTAAGCTAGCTCCCCCCCAACACTGGCTCCTGCTCTCTTCTCCCCTCCCCCCGCTACCTCTAATGGAAGCTGCGGGGGCGAGTAGTCGAGTACATATCTAGTTATCAGGTAGTCGCTTACATCCCTAGTTTAGAAACAAATCAGGGCATGTCTATGCAGTGCTAGTACTGTTTGAAATATGGCTATGTTGGTGTCTATGAGGGACCTTTTAATGCATGTTTTCAGGGCCCTCATGGACAGTTAGTGCATGATGCACTGGAATTTACATCCCAGTTGGTACTAGCAATGTAAAATCCTGTTTAATTAGTTAAACATTGTTTGACTTGTTAATTGATTATATAGGGGCAGGTGGTGGTGCTGGAGCAGCCCCTGTCCCTCCTCCTGTCAAAGGCAGGCTGGTGCAGCCCTCAGTGCGAGGCAGGACCCACAGGGCTGGAGCAGCCCTTACTGGCTTACCCTTTAATGGATTAACCATTCACATTCCTAGCTGGAGCAGCCCCAGTGTATACAAATTCTCAGCTCTTAGCTCACATTTAGTCCTATCTGGTGTGAATGAGTGTGTGTTTATATAGTGACAGATCGTGTGTGTAAAGACTTATAAATAGTCAAAATAATTACTGAGTAAATAGGTCTTAAATTATTGTTTATCCCAGAGGGAGTTCAGATGCTGTCTCTGCAGTGATTCTTTCAGGATGACTGTTGAAATATTAATATTAGAGGCTTATAATAGTAATCCCAGTAGTAGCATATTCATAGTATTATTGCCATTTAAAATGAAGTGGCATTAGTCTTTGGAAGACTCCATCATAATACTGTATTCTCAAATTGAATTGATTTGTTTTTAGGGGATCCATGCACAGTTTCTTCTCAGCTGGAGTTAGAAGAAGCCTTTCGGTTGTATGAACTAAACAAGGATTCAGAGCTTCTAATTCATGGTAAGATAGAACTTTGTCTTTCTTTTTACGCATGTACAAGGATTCAGAGCTTCTAATTCATGGTAAGATAAAACTTTGTCTTTCTCCTTACGCATGTGAGCCAGGACATATTTTTCTTTGTTTGTTGGTATTTTATGGCCTCTAACTTTGTATATCCATGTGCAGAATGAAATGTATGTGCGCCAGTACGGAGGTGATATATTGTGGGGGTATGGCCAAGAAATTTGCATTGTGGGAAAAGAGCTTAGGACTAGGGCAGAGTGGAGTGTTGAGGATGCAAGCTCAGGGTGGGGCTTAGGGGTTTGTGATGTAGGTTGGGGAAGAGGGTTGGGGGAAAAGAGCTTAGGACTAGGGCAGAGTGGAGTGTTGAGGATGCAAGCTCAGGGTGGGGCTTGGGGGTTTGTGATGTAGGCTGGGGAAGAGTGTTGGAGTTGCAAGGGGTGAGAATTCTAGCTAGGAGTGAAGGTAGGGCCAGATAAGGATTTTGGAGTGTGAGAGGGGGCTCAAGGCTGGGGCAGAAAGGTGACCCCATTACATTTTCCATTATTCAAGCAATAAGCTGTTTTCCTTGAGCTTCATCATTTAAAAATGACAAAACCATAATAGTCTCCCCTTGAGATCTGAGCCTGGATGTACAGTAGAGGCTCAATCTCATCAGTTTTACACTGTGAAGGCTCTTCTGTAGCATGTGGGAAACTAACAATTAATATCCAGTGTGGTGTTCAAGCCTGGGTTTGATGGGAAAGAAGGAAAGAAGCTAAAAAAATGCAACAGTTGCAGAGATAGAACTGGCTAAATGACAGGAAAAAAATGGAGTCCAGGAGAAATCATAGAATCCTACGGCTGGAGGAGACCTCAGGAGTCATCTAGCCCAGCCCCCTGACCAAAGCAGGACCAATCCCAACTAAGCCATCCCAGCCAGGGCTTTGTCAAGCGGAGACTTAAAAACTTCTAGGAATGGAGATTGCACCACCTCCCTAGATAACTAAAATCTAAATCTCCCCCATTGTAACGTGGGACCATTGCCCCTTATTCTGCCATACATCACTACTGAGAACAGCTTCTCTCCATCCTCTTTGGAACCTCCCTTCAGGAAGTTGAAGGCTACTATCAAATCCTCCCTCACTCTTCTCTTCTTCTGCAGACTAAGCTCATAGGTCATGCGCTCCAGCCCCCTAATCATTTTGGTTGCCCTCTGCTGGACCCTCTCCAATGCGTCCACATCCTTTCTATAGTGGGGGACCCCGAACTGGACATAGTACTCCACATGTGGCCTCACCAATGCTGAATAAAGGGGAATAATCACTTCTCTCGATCTGCTGGAAATGCTCCTCCTAATGCACACCAATATGCCATTAGCCTTCTTGGCTACAAGGACACACTGTTGACTCATATCCAGCTTCTCATCCACTGTAATTCCCAGGTCCTTTTCTGCAGAACTGCTACTTAGCCAGTCTGTCCTCAGCCTATAACAGTGCTTGGGATTGTTCTGTCCCAAGCGCAGGACTCTTCACTTGTTCTTATTGAACCTCATTATATTTCTTTTGGCCCAATCCTCTAATTTGTCTAGGTCACTCTGGACCCTCTCCCTATCCTCCATTGTATCTACCTTTTCCCCCTAGCTTAGTGTCATCCGCAAACTTGCTGAGGGTGCAATCCATCCCCTCATCCAGGTCATTAATAAAGATGTTGAACAAAACTGGCCCTAGAACCGATGCTTGGGGCACTCCACTTGAAACCAACTGCAACCAGATGTCGAGCCGTTGATTACTACACGGTGGGCCAGACAATCTAGCCAGCTTTCTGTTCACCTTAAAGTCCATTTATCCAATCCATGCTTCTTTAACTTGCTGGCAAGAATATTGTGGGAGACCATATCAAAAGCATTGCTTAGCTGGCAAGAATATTGTGGGAGACCGTATCAAAAGCGTTGCTTAAGTCAAGATATGTCTCATCCACTGACTTCCCTATGTCGACAGAGCCAGTTACCTCATTATAGAAGCTAATCGTGTTAGTCAGACAGGACTTGCCCTTGGTGAATCCATGGTAACTATTCGTGATCACTTTCCCCTCTTCAAGTGCTTCAAAATGGATACCTTGAGGATACCCCTCCATGACTTTTCTGGGGACTGAGGTAAAGCTGACTGTTCTGTAGTTCCCTGGATGGTTCTCCTTCCCTTTTTTAAAGATAGGCACTACATTCCAGTCATCTGGGACCTCTCCCGATCTCCATGAGCTCTCAAAGATAATGGCCAGAGGCTCTGAAATGGTATTTGCCAACTCCCTCCATACCCTTGGATGCATTAAATACACAAATCCATGGGTCTGGATGTCTAGCTTTTCTAAATAGTTCTTAACCTGTTCTTTCACCACCGAGGGCTGCCCACCTTTTTCCCATACTGCGTTGCCTAGTGCAGTAGTCTGGGAGCTGACCTTGTCTATGAAGACAGAAGCAAAGGAAGCATTGAGTACATCAGCTTTTCCCATGTGTCACTAGGTTACCTCCCTCATCCAGTAAGGGCCGTACAACTTCTCTTGTCACCCTCTTATTGCTAACATGCCTGTAGAAACCTTCCTTGTTACCCTTCACGTCCCTTGCTAGCTACAATTCCAATTGTGCTTTCACTTTCCTGATCACTTCCCTGCATTCTCGAGCAATATATTTATACTTCTCCCTAGTCATCTGTCCAAGCTTCCACTTCTTATAAACTTCCTTTTTGTGTTTAAGCTTGCCAAGGATTTCCCTGATAAGCTAATCTGGTCATCTTCCATATTTGCTTTTCTTATTGCTCATCAGGATGTTTTCTTCCTGTACCTTCATCTGGCTAATCTACATGCCTCCGTCGAAGGAGGCATGTAGTCTAGACACACCCAGATTCTCTGTGGGAGTCAGTCTGCTTTTCAGAGCCAGATGAAACAGGAGAGGTTCCTGTGATCCTGGGGTACTGACTTTCCTGTCATGCTTCTCACAGCACAGACACTTGGCATCGAAAATGAGATCAACAAGTAGTCTGCCTTTGGGGACTTTGGGGCATACCCATGTGAAGTGCTTTTGTCGAGACCACATGGCAAGTCAGGCAGTAGAAGCAGGACTTACTAAGCTGCCTGATACCAAGTAACCCCACTCTGCTTGGCACCCCTACCCAGGAATATTCAGGGAGGAATAAGAAATCCTCCGGAAAAGGCTTTATTTTCCGGAGAATAACATCTAGACTGGCGCTTTTCTCCGGCTTTTCCCCAAGCCGGAAAAAAGCGGCAGCCATGTTAATGCAAAAGCCACGGGGAATATTTAAATCCCCCA